AGAATAACCTCAATAGATGCAGGAAAAAAATAGTGACAAAGTGCAACACCTATTCATAATAAAACCCCTGAACAAACTAGGAATAGAAAGGATCATTCTTAACTTGATAAAAGACATCTATGAAAAAACCTACAGCCAACATCATATTTAATTGTAAAAGACATGATGCTTTCCTACTAAAAACAAGACTAAAATGTACATTCTTACCAGTTCTATTCACCACTGTACTGGAGATTCTAGCCAAGGCAATTCAGCAAGAAAAAGAAACAAAAGATTAAAAATTAAGAAATAAAATTGTCTTTATTCACAGATGAGATGAATCTTATATGTAGAAACTCCTAAAGAATTCAGTGAAAAAAAACTAAGTTCAACAAAGTCACAGGATACAAGAGCAATATACAAAATCACTTGTATTTCTATATGCTAGCAACAAACAAATTGAAAATGAAATTAAGACAACAATTCCATTCTCAATAGATCTAAAAGAATAAAATATTTGAAGAAGATTAAATAAATGGAAAAACATCCTGCTCATAGATTAGAAGATTTACTATCATTATGGCAACACTCCCCAAACTGCTCTATAGATTCAACACAATCATTATCAAAATTCCAGCAAATTTTTTTTTTTTTTTGCAACGATTGACAAGTTGATCCTAAAATTCTTATGGAAATGCAAAAGACTCGGCCAAATAACCTTGGGAAAAAACAAAGTTGAAGTTCTCCCACTTCCTGATTTCAAAATTCACTACAAAGCTATAGTAATTGAGACAGTGTCATACTGGCATAGGAAGTGACAAGTACAATGAAATAGGAAGTCCAGAAATAAACCCAAACATCCATGAAATGCTGATTTTTGAAAAAAGTGACAAGACAATTCAATAAGAAAAAAAGTACTTTCAACAAATGGTGCTGAAGCAAGTGAATATCCACATGCAAAAGAATGAATTTGGAACCCTACCTCACACCATACACAAAATTTAACTCAAAATGACAGACCTAATTTTCTAATTAGAAAATCCTGAGAAGAAAACAAAAGTAAACCTTTAGGACCTGAGGTTAATCAATGATTTATTAGATTCAACACCAAAGTACAAGCAATAAAAGAACAAAAATTGATCGATTAGACTTCATGAAAATTAAAAACTTTTGCACTTTAAAAATAAGAATTAATTCTGATATTCCCAATTAAATGTAATATGATTTTTTACTTACTTTATTTTAAAATTGTGTATCTTTTACACTGATAATTTTTTTTTCTTTTTTTAATGTCACCCAGGCTGGATTGCAGTGGCACAATCTTGGTTCACTGCAATCTCCACCTCCCAGGCTCAAGTGATCCTCCCAACCCAGCCTCCTGAGTAGCTGGTACTACAGACACGTGCCACCGTGCCTGGCTAATTTTTTGTGTTTTTTGTAGAGACAGTGGTTTTGCCATGTTGCCCAGGCTGGTCTGAACCTCCGACCTCAGATGATCCACCTACCTTGGCCTCCCAAAGTGCTGGAATTACAGGCATGAGCCACCATGCCCAGCCTACACTGAAAATCTGAATAATTACATACATGTTACCATATTATAAATAGTGCCAAAACAATAATAGCCATATTATTAATAACAAGACAACTGAATGTGATTTAAAATTTATTTGCTGCTCTTCTTTTTCTAGGATGGAGCCTGCTAGAATATACAACCAGAATACCACAAATTTAAAGATACTAAAAATTTAAAGATACACAAATTTAATGATACTCCAGACTGGGTGCAGTGGCTCATACCTGCAATCCCAGCACTTTGGGAGGCAAGAGTGAGGATCACTTTAGCCAGGAGTTCAAGACTAGCCTGGGCAACACAGCAAGACCTCAACCTAAAAAAAAAGAAAAAAAAAAAAATTATCAAAAAAAAAAAAGAAAAAAGGGCCAGACATAGTGGTACATACCTATAGTCCCCAGCTACTCAGGAAGCTGAGGCGAGAGGATCACTTGAGCCCAAGAGTTTGAGCCCAGCCTGAGCAATATAGCAAGATCCCATCTATAAAATAAAAATATAAAGAACAGGTGTGGTGGCTCATGCCCATAATCCTAGCATTTGGTGAGGCCAAGGAAGGAGGATTGTTTGAGCCTCGGCTGAGGTGGGAAGCGTTCAAGACCAGCCTGGGCAATACAGTGAAACCCCATCCCTACCAAAAATACAAAAAATTAGCTGGGCTTTATTGCATGCACCCGTAGTCCAAGCTACTTGGGAGGCTGAGGAGGGAAGATGGTTTGAGCCCAGGAGGCAGAGGCTGCAGTGAGCTGAGATCGTGCCACTGCACTCCAGCCTGGGCAACAGAGCCAGACCCTGTCTCTAAAATAAAAAATAAAATAAAATAAAGTAAAGTAAAATGAAATAAAATAAAATAAAAATAGATACTGAAAAAAATTGTGTGAGCTGGGCACAGTGGCTCTTGCCTGTAATACCAGCACTTTGGGAGGCCATTGCAGGAGGATCGCTTGAGCCCAGGAGTTTAAGACCAGCCTGAACAACATAGGGAGACCCCATCTCTACAAAAATTAAAAAATTATCCAGGCGTGGTGGCAGTATGACTGTAGTCTCAGCTACTTGGAAGGCTGAAGTTGGAGGATTGCTTGGGCAAGGGAGGTCAAGGCTGCAGTGAACTGTGATTGTGCCACTGCACTCCAGCCTGGGCAACAAAGCAAGACCATGTCTCAAAAAAGAACAAAAAAACTTGTGTGATTATGCCATGAACTTAATATAGTTAGGCTCATTTATTTTTAATTGCTAAGGATTGCTTTGTTTTTTCCTTTGATTCTAATTTTGTCTCCTAATTATACAAAACATTTACATGGTTCTAAACTATAAAAAAGGAACATTCAGGTAAATCTTAACTCTCATTCCTGTCCCCTCTACTCTGTTCCTTCCTTCTCTCTATAAGTAAATACATTTATAAGTTTGTGGTTTATCCTTCCATTGTTTTTTGAAAGCATAAGGAAATACACACTCATATCTCCCTCATTCCTTACATAAAAAGTACAATACTCTACATTCTGTCCACATACATTGCTCTTTCACATAACAATATATCCTGGAGATCACTCCATGGGACTAAAGAGATACCTTCCCCATTCCTTTTTATAGTTGCATAGTAGTAATTCATTTTGCAGCTATACCAGGCCTGATGAGCGTCTGAGTTGTTTTTAGTCCTGCTATTACAAATACTATTGTAATAAGTAACCGTGTACATGCTTCATTTCGTAATTTTTTGCCAGTGAATTTTTGGGACAGAATCCTAGAAGTGGAATTGTTAATCAAAGGGTGACTGCACATATAGTTTTGTTCAATGTTGCTAACTTCTTCTCCATTAGGGTTATATCATTTGCAATAACCTTTCAACTCTTTCCCTTCTTCCACTCTTGTCTACCTACACCCATTCTCCCTCCTATCTTATAAAATACTAATTCAATCATATTACTCTCTTACTTAAAATCTTTCAGTGGCTTCCCATTGCATTTATAATAAAATCCAATCTCTTCACACTATAAAAACTTAGGTGATATAGCTCCTCCCTCTGTATCAAGTTAGAATTAGGTCTATCAGCAAGAAAGACCCAAAATGACAACAGCTAAAACAAGACAGAAGTTTACTTCTCTGACAAGAAAATCTAGAGGAAGACTGCCCAAGGCCGGCACTGGAGTTCACCTTCAAGAAAACCTCAGGGCACAAGCTCCTCCCAGGCCATGCTCTGTCATCCCTAGGACTTGTTCCTCATCCCCATGACCTAAGAGAATAGCTATAGTACTAGTCATAATTTCAATGTTCCAGGCAGCAAAGTGGGAAGAAGGGAAAAGTAAGAAAAGGGGGATGCCAGCTGTTTTTTATTATAGGTAAGATTCTTGGAAGCTCTACATGACACTTCAGTTTGTATCTCAAATCAGAACATATTCATATGACTATACCTACCTACAAGGAAGGATGGAAAATATCATCTTTATTCTGTGCAGCCAGGTGCCCCAGCCAAAAATTGGGAGATATTATGCCATGGAAGAAGGCTCTGCTGCACAACCTGTTCAGTTTCAGCTCATAATAGGCCATACACCCTTATTCACTATGCTCTAGCCAAAAAACTTCCTTTGTTCTTCAAAGCTGCCAAACTCTTACCTATCTCAAGGTTTCTCCTGCCTAGCACACCCTTCCTCAGATCTTCACATGGCTTGTTCCATCTCATCATTCAGGACTCAGTTCAAAAGGTCACTTCCTCAGATAGATCTTTGACTACTGTATGAAAGGTAGGCCCCACCCCAGTCACCCTTTTTCATATTGCACTGCCTTATTTTCTTCATGGCATTTGTTTCTGAAATTATTTACTTTTTGCTTTATTTCACTAGAATATAATTTCCTCAGAACAAAGACCTTTTTTTCACTTCTTCACTGCTATATTCCTATTACACAATACAATTCTAAGCATATGGTAGGAGTTTAATATTAGTTGAATGGATGAATGTCTCACTCCAAAGCCCATGCTTTTCCCATTACATCTGCTGCTCCTAGTATATCTGAAATAATATCCCATTCCAGTAGCTAATCTTTGTTTTTTTGAGAATGATAGCCTATTAATTTTCTTTCAATCAAGATTTTTTAAAAATTATTCTTAAAGTAAAAGAAAATCTTACGCTCAGTAAGTAAAAAGAAGAGATTTGGATAAAACATCATGGGCAAGACTCTTAAGTTGCTCGATCTCAGTTTTCATCTGTAAAAAGAAAGGGTTGATAAAAATTGATTTAATCTACAGATATTTATCAAGCATTATGCTAAACTGGGACATGAAGGTTAAATAAGATAATTTCTGACCTCAAAAAGGGCTCACATGTGCCTTTCAACTCTATAATTTGTATGATTCTATATAATTGTTAGTCCACACCCTCTGTGTTAATAGAAAAAGCCTACCAATTTCCACTTCTGAGATGTTAATTAAAAGATGTCAAGACATTGATAAACACATTGGTTCACTTTAAAACGAACATTTAATTCAACATTGCAACAGGAGTTGAACTGTATTTAAAACAGAAGCATATTAGTGACTAAAAAAAATGTGTACATTAATCCTTAGTTCCCTTTTGAGGGGATTTTGATTGCCAGTTCTCTGCAGTGAAATGCTAGGAAAATGTCTTTAGAAGACAGAATTCTTTCTGAATGCAAGTCTAAAATGCTTAAAAGAGATTAAAGGTTTTAAAGACTCAAATCAGAAATATCCATTAGATATATCTCATTTGAATCCTAAGAGTTTAAACACAATAAACACTATATTTATTTACTTTATTTTTTTTATTTTTTGAGGCAGAGTCTCACTTTGTTGCCCAGACTGGAGTGCAGTGGTGCAATCTTGGCTCACTGCAGCCTGTCTTCTGGGTTCAAACGATTCTCCTGCCTCAGCCTCCCCAGTAGCTGGGATTATAGGCATGCGCCACCACACCCAGCTAATTTTTGTATTTTCAGTAGAGCAGCGGTTTCACCATGTTGGCCAGGCTGGTCTAGAATTCCTGGCCTCAAATGAGCCACCCACCTCAGCCTCCAAAAGTGCTAGAATTACAGGTGTGAGTCACCAAGCCCAGCCTATATATATATATATTTTTTTAAAGATGACAAGAAATTAACAACTCAGCATTTTGAGATTGGCATGCCAGGTTATCATGATTAGTACATGGGCACCTGGCTGTGGCTCATCTACTACCATATTCTTTGTACTTCTAGATCCTTCTTGGCTTCCATCTTGGCAACTCCAAAGGCATGGTGGGGAAAACAGATGCAGAGATAGATGCCTATTTCTCCTGCAGTCTCTTTCAGCATAGCAATTAGGCAAGTCATCAATAAGAAAAAGAGTATATAATCTATAACTTATAGTCCACATAAGGCTTCACTCAATTTGAAAAACTGCCAGTTCTGTCAAGTATGCTAACACTCCGATAAGATATTTATGACACAGAATCTGCAAAAAGAAAAAGAAGACATTTATAATTAGAATAGTATTAATTATAACAAAGCAGATTGATATTTGAGTAATCAATGTTATACTGGTCTAACTTCTGGATTTAATTCATGAAGTTTAACAAATGCAATACACTCATTTTTGGCCAGGCACAGTGGTTTATCCCTATGATCCCAGCACTTTGAGAGGCTGAGGCAGGAGGATCACTTGAGCCTAGGAGTTCAAGACCAGCCTGGGCAACAAAGGGAGACCTCATCGCTACAAAAAATTGTAAAATGTAAAAAACAGCCAGGTGTAGTGGTATACACCTATAGTCCCAGCTGCTCACAAGGCTGAGGGAGGAGGATCACTTGAGCCCAGGAGTTAAAGGTTATAGTGAGCTATAATCACGCTACTGCATTCCAGCCTGGGTGAAAAAGTGAGACTCTGTCTCTAAAACAAAAAACAAACCTCTCATTTTTATATTTTCTATTTCTTTCCTTTTTTATTTCTTAATGCTGGTCTCTTCTCATCAAAATTATTTCCCAACCTACTGTTGCACTGTGATCTCCAGTGTGAAAAGCATGAATATAGTGCTTACAGAGTATTGACTTCTTGGATCTAAGAGATAAGAGTTCAAATCTTGATTCTTCCTCTTGATAAGCTATCTTGCTTGTCATTTAAACCTGTCTTGGTCTCAGTTTCCTTGTTTTAAAATAAAATATGGATAAAAACACCTAACTGTCCAGGCACGGTGGCTCATGCCTATAATCCCAGCACTTTGGGAGGCTGAAGCGGTTGGATCACAAGGTCAGCCTGGCCAACATGGCGAAACCCCATCTCTACTAAAAATACAAAAATTAGCCAGGCATGGCGGTGGGTGCCTGTAATCCCAGCTACTCAGGAGGCTGAGGCAGGAGAATTGCTTGAACCGAGGAGGTGGAGACTGCAGTAAGCCAAGATCACACCACTGCACAGCAGCCTAGGAGACAGAGCAAGATTCCATCTCAAAGGAAAAATAATAATAATAATAATAATAAAACCTAACTAGCCAGGCACAGTGGCTCACACCTGTAATCCCAACACTTCAGGAGGCCAAGGCAAGTGGATCATTTGAGGTCAGGAGTTCAAGACCAGCCTGGCCAACATGGTGAAACCCCAACTCTACTAAAAATACAAAAATTAGCTGGGCATGGTGGCAGGCACATGTAGTCTCAGCTACTCAGGAGGCTGAGGCAGGAGAATCACTTGAACCCAGGAAACAGAAGTTGCAGTGAGTTGAGATCACACCACTGCACTCCAGCCTGGGCAACAGAGCAAGATTCCATCTCAAAATAAACAAATAAAGGTAAAAATAGTAAAAAAAAAAAAAAGTAAAATTACAAAAATTAGCCAGGTGTAGTGGCTTATGCTTGTAGTCCCAGCTACTCAGGAGGCTGAGGCACAAGAATCGTTTGAGCCCAGAAGGCAGAGGTTGTAGTTAGCCGAGATCACACCACGGCACTCCAGCCTGGGTGATGGAGTAAGATTCTGTCTCAAAAAAAACAAAAAGCAAACACACAAAAAACACCTAACTACAGGGTTGCTCTAAAGATTAGAATTTAAGGTCTGTTAAACTCTTGGCACAGTAACAAGATCACAGGAAACATTTACTGAATGTATATTGTGGCTGTATATTTTAACACATTTTAGGAGCCAATTCTCAGTTTATTTCTGATACTTTTTTTTTTTTTTTGAGACAGAGTCTCACTCTGTTGCCCAGGCTGGAGTGCAGTGGCACAATCTCGGTTCACTGCAAGCTCCGCCTCCCGGGTTCACACCATTCTCCTGCCTCAGCCTCCCACGTAGCTGGGACTACAGGCGCCTGCCACCACACCTGGCTAATTTTTTGTATTTCTAGTAGAGACGGGGTTTCACTGTGTTAGCCAGGATGGTCTCGATCTCCTGACCTCGTGATCCGCCCGCCTCAGCCTCCCAAAGTGCTGGGATTACAGGCATGAGCCACCGCGCCTGCCCTATTTCTGATACTTCTTATCAGAAATCACTCTGCAGAGAATAAAACAATGTCTGTATTATTTCTTTCCCAATAAGGATAGAAAAGCCTAGAATATAAAGATGACATCTTAGTCTTGTGTTTCTGGCTATAATTTTGTCTAACATACAAAATTCTCTATTACTCTGAAAATTAATTCAAAATTTCACAAGAAACAATTTTCAAAGTTTCAAAGTTACTACAAAATAATAATTCATATTATTACCAAAGGCTGAAGCACACAGCATATAGTGTCCTTCCATTATAAGGCTATATCTAGAAGGCTAAAGACTTTAGTAAACTGTAAACCATAACATAAAAGCTCTCTGTTGTCTTGAATATATTCAAGTATGTTTCTTCAATGTGGACAATACACTCATCATACATTTTTAAAACCATAAAATGAAGAAAAATTACTTAAATAGATTGTTCAAACTAACCTTTATTTTTCCATCAGTATGTGCTGAAGCTACAGATGTTGAAACACGAACCAATCTTGTGGCTGATAAATGAATCTTGAAATGTCTATGGAAATGTGAATAAAGGCAGTCCATGAATAGGTCAACTTCTTCCTGGGTAACCTCCCCAGGTGTTTTGTGGATGCTGTCCCATAGAGCTTTTGCATCCTCTGGATGTATTGCATAAGAGATGTCCAGACTTTGAGGGCTACAGGGTACAGACCAAAGAAATTCAGTAGTAGCCACATAATGGTCCACTTTGCATGCAGTCCACATGGCAGCCATCCAGGAAAGATTAAATGCATTGATTGTTAAAGGACTGAAATAACAGTCAAAGGTTTTCTGAAACCAAGTTCCAATTATGGCTGTGTTAGACTCTGCTCCATTTGCAAGGAATAAGGGCAGACAGGTGAAATCTTCTGAAACAGTCTCCAGAAGACTGTCTCCAAAAACACAGCAGAACCAGCCAGTCCACAACACTTTACCTTCTCTATTCTCAGATGGCAATTGAGATTTTGACAGAATCTACAAAGAAAGTAAACAGGTCCCTTAAATTCAAAAGTACATTTACTTCTAAATTCCATCTTCTCAAAAATAAGACGAGCCAATGTAATACCTGCAAAACAACATAGAGGGAATAGTCTCCCTAATGATTAACAGGACATATAAAAATAATTGGCCTTTTTTTTTTTTTTTTTTTTTTGAGACAGAGTCTCACTCTGTTGCCTAGGCTGGAGTGCAGTGGCGCGATCTCAGCTCACTGCAACCTCCACCTCCTGGGTTCAAGTGATTCTCCAGCCTCAGCCTCCCAAGTAGCTGGGATTATAGGCATGCACCACAATGCCCGGCTAATTTTTGTATTTTCAGTAGGGATGGGGTTTCACCATATTGGCTAGGCTGGTCTCGTACCTCTGACCTCAGGTGATCTGCCCACCTTGGCCTCCCAAAGTACTAGGATTATAGGCGTAAGCTACCATGCCTGGCCCCCAATATTCTTATACAGTGGAAACACGATGTATGGCAAGACCTTGGTGTAACCAAAATGCAAAATAAGAGCTACCAATATGGCATAACTAGGTGTAGTACCCTGAAACAAACAAACAAACAAACAAAAAAACCCCTCAACTTTAGAAAGAACTGTGAAAGATCAAAAAATCCAACATGTTTGAATTCTTTCATTAAGGAAGACTTCAATATTTCCTAAGGCAGCACTATCAACTTAAAATGTTCTTTTATGGCCGGGCACGGTGGCTTACGCCTGTAATCCCAGCTACACGGGAGGCTGAGGCAGGAGAATGGCGTGAACCCGGGAGGCGGAGCTTGCAGTGAGTCGAGATTGGCCACTGCACTCCAGCCTGGGCGACAGAGCGAGACTCCGTCTCAAAAAAAAAAAAAAAAAAAAAAAAAAAAATGTTCTTTTATATGTTAGACCCTACATTTTCTACCCACTGGTCCTGCTTTCTTCCTTTTGGGCATGTAGAATATAATCATATCTAATCTCTCTTCTACAGGAAAAGTCCTTCAGATATTTGATGGTCCCCATCATACATAGTACTAAGTTCAACATTTCCAGTTTCTTCAGCCATTCACCTAAGACATGCATTCACATTCTCTCACTATTCTAGTCACTCTTCCCTGAAATTATTCTGCATAGGAATCATTCATAAGTGAACATAATTACTTTAAAAAGGTCTGATTCGGGGAAGGAGGGGGAAAAACATCTGACTGCAAGACTAACCACCACCTTTACCCTAGATTATACTATTAATGTAATCTCAGATTGCAGTTTTCTGGTTTTTAGTTGACAGCTTTATATAAACTAGCCCTGTATATTCATGTTTGCTTTATAGGTAAATCTCTCCCAACTTATACTGAGGCTGTAAATTTATTCCTACTAAAATTTTAATCTCTTCTGATTTGGCTGATTGGACAATCCATTCAGATAATTTAGGATCTTTTATTATATTTTTAGCTGATTGCCTAACCCCTCAAACTTTAAATTTTAAGTTACATGACAAACATGCCTTCCAGATACTCAAAGAACTCTGTTAAAGCATTAAGCAGACCAAGGTTAAGATCACAGCTTTGTATCACACCCCTTCAGAAATGATCATTTACACAGTCCTTTTAACATATTTCTCCTTCTTATTCAAGAAATTTTGAAACACTCTCAAATACCTGGAAGCTTAGATATATTAAGTTTATCACACTTTCATGACCTAAGAGTCCTGTAATCCTATCAAGAAATGAGATTTAATTTGAAAACTATTAGAACACTATACCAGGAATTCAAGAGGTCATTTCTAATCCTCACAAGGGTAGATGCTTGCCTCATAATATGCAAGTCACAAAACTTCTCTGTGCATCAGGTACTTCACTTGACAAAAACTGCTAGTTGTCTCTTGAGTATCCATTTTTCCTTCCACAATAAAATAGTCCCTTTATGGCCGGGCGAGATGGCTCATGCCTGCAATCCCAGAACTTAAGGAGGCCGAGGCGGGTGGATCACTTGAGCCCAGAAGTTTGAGACCAGCCTGGGCAACATGCTGAAACCCTGTCTCTACAAAAAAATAAAATTAGCCTGGCATGGCGGCACATGCCTATAGTCCCAGCTACTTGGGGGGCTGAGGCGGAAGGACTACTTGAGCCCAGGAGGTAGAGGTTGCAGTGAGCTGAGACAGTGCCACTGCACTCAACCTGGGTGACAGAGTGAGAACCTGTCTCAAAAAAAAAAAAAGTCTCTTTAGTTAAGTTGGCAGAGTACCCACTGAAAAAACATTCTTTTCTAGTCTCCCTTCCAACTAAGATGTAAACAGAAGTTGTTGGGTCTCAGCAAGATTTACTCTGCATCAGGTTCTGTTTGTCCTTCCCATCTTCTTCCTACTTCCTGCCTGGAACTTAAATATAAGGTTTAGAGCTGCTGGAGACATCTTATGTTAGACCATAAGGTAACTTTTAGGATGAAAGTCATGCACTAAGGAGAAGAAAGAGCCTAGATTATTAATTATTTCATCAAGCATCATACCAGCCTTGGACAGCTTACATCCATGCACTTTAAAAAAAAAAAAAGACGACAGTATACCACTATCTTGTTTAATTCACTATTCTTTAGGCTAACCCTAATCCTAGAACATCTTGAGATCTTTGCCAATACCATGACCTATATCTGGGGTCACCAATTTTTTTCTGTAAAGGGCCAATTAGTAAGCATTTCAGACTTTGCTGGTAATATAGTCTCTGTTGCAACTTCTCAACTCTGCGGTTGCGGCACAAAAGCAGCCACAGACAACATATAAGCAAATAAAAGGGGCTATGTTCCAATAAAACCTTATTTACAAAAACAAGCAGCAGGTCAGATTTGGCCTATGATTTACTGACCTCTAATCCATACAAACAAAAAGTCAGTCCTTTTCAACTGCTTGAGAACTTAATTTCCTTATCCATTATTAAGATTAGTTAGCTCAAAAGAAACAGAGGCAGCAGGCATGAATAATAAACAAAATAAATCTGAGGCTGAGTGTGGTGGTTCATGCCTGTAATCCCAGCACTTTGGGAAGCCAAGGTGGGTGGATCACTTGAGCCCAGGAGTTCGAGACCAACCTGGGCAACATGGCAAGACCCTGTCTACAAAAAAATACAAAATTTACCCGAGTGTGGTGGCATGCACCTGTAGTCCCAGCTACTTGGAAGGCTAAGGTGGAAGGATCACTTGAGCCCAGGAGGCAGAGGTTGCAGTAAGCCAAGATCGTGCCACTGCACTCCAGCCTGGGTGACAAAATGAGACCCTATCTCAAAAAAAAAAAAAAAGAAATGCAACATTTTATATTCCTTCCTGTAAGTAGTATATAAGAGCAATAGAACTATCTTGATTGATTAAGAAACCAGATTTATTTATTGTATTTTTTGTAGAGATGGCATCTTGTCATGTTGCCCAGGATGGTCTCGAACTCCTAGGCTCAGGTGATCTGCCCGTCGTAGCCTCCCAAAGTGCTGGGATTACAGGCGTGAGCCACTGCACCCGGCTTTAAAATGTTACATTTCTGAAAGTAACCTGGCATGAAGTATCACAATATTTAATGATATATATTTTTATACTAAAATTCTACTTATAGAAATTTAATCCCAGAAAAACTCACAAAAATATAGAATTCCTAATGACATGAGTAATTGTCTACAATATTAGTAAAAATATAATGTACAAGTATGGGCAATATGATCCCAATTTCAAGACTATATAGATACAGATAACCAAACATATATACCAAAATGTTAAAACTATAATTTTTAACTTTTTTTGTACTTTCATGTATTTCCTCAGTTTTCAAAAATAAATATGATTTTGTACACAAACTACCTACATAGGCAGGAAAAAAATTTTTTAAGTTGATTATATCTAATTATTATAGTTTAGTCAAACAAGACATAAAATACATTATAAATCACAAACTTAGAAATGTTTAAAACAGTTAAGAAAATATCACAACAATTTCCAAACAAAGAAAATGCAGATTCTTTTCCCCTAGGAAGCAAGTATTGTTTATGTACTATACCTGGACAAGAAATGCTTCTGGATCCCTTTGTGTTCCTTTCATTCCTAGGAGAGTAGAAAAAATCACTTTGATGTTGAAGTCTTCTCCCACTTCCACAGCAAGTCCTTTTTGCTTTTCAGCAACAATAAAAGCATTCAGAAGTCTAGAATATTCTTTGAGATTACTATAGGAGAATTTATATAAGGGAGTTAAACTATATAAAGTCCACTGTTTATGCAGAAGGAATGCAACCTTTTGAGGGTCAACATCTTCCTACAAAAAAAAAAAAAATCAAGACAAAAGAAGTTTAAGAATGAGGAAACATTAATAAGAATTTAATCACAGCATTTAAAACATCTAATTCAAATATATTATAGGGTACCTGATTTTTGCACTCCAACCAAATGAGTCTGCAGGACTCATTTTTGCAGATCCTTGAACAGACTTTTACCTTTGCTGTAACTTCTCTTTAGAATGCTCTTCTCCCAAGTGTTCACACGGCAAGTTCCTTCACTTCATTCAGTTCTCTACCCAGATGTAATCCAAGAGGCCACTCGATCTAAAGTAGCACCTGCACGCACTCCAACTTTGTATCATCTCACCCAGATTTATTTTTCTTCACAGCACTTATTACTACTCAACATTATATTCTTGTCTGCAATTTTTTTGTGTTTTTATTATCTGTCTACTGGTGTATAAGCTTGATGACAGCAGTGATTTTGTCTATTTAGTTCTCTCTAGAACAAAGCTATCTAGAACAAGTGTCCAATAAATATTTAACATAAAATTTATGTTTCACTTTTAGAAACTTCAAATTATAGATTTCAAAAATAGTAACCATTCCTAAAGTATCTAATTTGATTAACCCTAATTTAAAAAAATTGTTTGGGCCAGGCGCGGTGGCTCGTGCCTGTAATCCCAGCACTTTGGGAGGCTGAGGCAGGTGGATCACAAGGTCAGGAGTTCGAGACCAGCCTAGCCAACACGGTAAAACACCATCTCTACTAAAAATACAAAAATAAATAAGCCGGGCATGGTGGTGTGGACCTGTGATCCCAGCTACTCAGGAGGTTGAGGCAGGAGAATTCCTTGAATCTGGAGGGCAAAGGTTGCAGTGAGCTGAGATCACGCCACTGCACTCCAGCCTGGGTGGCAGAGCGAGACTCTGTCTTTAAAAAAAAAAAAAAAATTGTTTGGCAGCAAATCTACTCTATGACACCATGCCCAATTCAACAGATTAAATAAAAAGATACTTGGGGGCTTGTCCAAAGGTAATGAGTTATCTCAGTTGATTGTACACAATCAGTTATAGATCAAACTCCTTGTTTCCAACTCCTTGTTCTACTCTTCCCCACTTCCCCCTTCTCACTACTGTGCTAGACTAGCCTGAAAAAAAAAAAAAAAAAGATATTTGGGAATATTTTTTGCTATGGTCTATTAGAACCACAGGTACCATTAAAAACAAAAACACTTCATTTGTATTGGCCCCATGGCATTGTTCAGGGCCTTCATATATGCCGCCATATAGGCTCCTAGTTTCCTTCCAAACCGAATTTTTTTTATAGAGTCCATACTTCCTGACATAGTCTCACAGCTCCAACAACCTTTTAGAACTTTCACTACAGTTGTCTACTTGACAAAAATGTTTGTTCTGACTAAAGCATTCATTGAAATGTTATAAGTTGTTTTATTATTATGACTAAAATACATAGAGATGAGGAAGCAATGAAGTGAACATTCCAATATTCAATTTATATAAAATTTATGTTTTCTGGTTAAGAATCAACACTTTCATTACCAGCAATTGAAATTTTTCTTTAAGAAAATTGTCACAAAGAAAGCCAGGCATGGTGGCTCACACCTGTAATCCCACCACTTTGGGAGGCAGAGGCAGGAGGATTGCTTGAGCCCAGGAGTTCAAGAATAGCCTGGTCAACATAGTGAGACCCTCATCTCTATTTAAAAAAAAAACAAAAACAAAAAACCTTTAAAAACTTAGCCAGGCATGGTGGCACGTGCCTGTTATTCCCAGCTATACTTCGGAGGATCACTTAAGCCCAGGAGTTAGAAGCTGCTGTGAGCTATGATTGTGCCACTGCACTCAAGCCTTGGTGACAGAGTGAGGCCCTGTACTAAGCAAGACCCTGTCTCTAAGAAGAAATTTTTTAAAAAAGAAAATTGTCACAAAGAAATAAAACTTGTTTCATATCCCCGGTACTACGTATACAACCATATCTTGGGATATGAGACTACTGACCAGAGAAAAAGCTACAATGAGAGTGACTGATCAGCCAGACCCCTAGCTAAGTGATTCAAAACCACACACCAAACTTTTATTGAATAGGATTTTATTTCCTGCTTCAGTACAATTAGAAATTATTAATGCTATATATCTTCAGGGTTGTTTGTAAATGATCAAAACAGAGCATGTTGCCACCAGACAAATCTGGGACAATTTAAATACCAAAATAATTTAGTAATAAATTAAAAATCCTTAAAAAAAGGAATTTATGAGCCCATATCAATAATAAATAGATAAATAAATGAAGAAAAAAGGAGAAGGGTTACAATAGAATATCAAAGGCTGGTTGGTAAACATGAAGGGAGTGCTGGAGTTGGAAAACCATTAAGATGGGAACAGGAAAAAATGAAAAGATGGGAACAGAAAAAAAACCATTAAGATGGGAACAGGAAAAAATGAAAAGATGGGAACAGAAAAAAAACCATTAAGATGGGAACAGGAAAAACCATAAAGATGGGAACAGGAAAAAATTCACCAGTGTAAACCAAGTCTAAGAAGAAATTTTGACAATTAACAGAATATCTGCCTTAAAGTTGTCTTTCCACAAACTGCTTACTAGTTGCAGAGAGGGAAAAAACAGTACATAAACAAAGTAAAGAAATTGGAGAACTCCTTGACAGGATGATCAAAATTAATGTCGCCTGTGTGCCTCAAGATGTGATTCACAAGGACACAACAGCACCTATGCAATATTCTAGCCAAAAATACTAATTTCAATCTAATCATGAGAAAATGCCAGACAGATGCAAAATGAGGAATACTCTACTTTAAAGAGGAAAAGAAGGCTGTACTGTATTCTTTAAAAATGTCAATGTCATTAAAGACAAATAAATACTATGGACAAACCTGACAAAAAAAGCAATGGGGAAAGGACTCCCTATTCAATAAATGGTACTGGGATAACTGGCTAGCCATACGCAGAAAACTGAAACTGGACCCCTTCCTTATACCATATACAAAAATTAACTCAATGTGGATTAAAGACTTAAATGTAAAACGCAAAACTATAAAAACCCTGGAAGACAACCTAGGCAATACCATTCAGGACATAGGTACAGGCAAAGATTTCATGACAATGACGCCAAAAGCAATAGCAATGAAAGCAAAAATTGACAAATGGGATCTAACTAAACTAAAGGGCTTCTGCATAGCAAAAGAAACTATCAACAGAGTAAACAGAAAACCCACAGAATGGGAGAAAAATTTTGCAAACCATGCATCTGACAAAGGTCTACTATCCAGCACCAATAAGAAACTTAAACAAATTTACAAGAAAAAAATGGGCCAGGCCGGGCGTGGCGGCTTATGCCTGTAATCCCAGCACTTTGGGAGGCCGAGGCGGGCAGATCACAAGGTTAGGAGTTCAGGACCATCCTGGCCAAAATGGTGAAACCCTGTCTCTACTAACAATACAAAAAAAGTAGCTGGGTGTGGTGGCGGGCACCTGTAGTGCCAGCTACTTGGGAGGCTGAGGCAGGAGAATCGCTTGAACCCAGGAGGCGGAGGTTGCAGTGAGCCAAGATCATACCATTGCACTCCAGCCTGGCTGATAGAGCAAGACTCCCAGCACTTTGAGAGGTCGGGGAGGGTGGATCACCTGAGGTCAAGAGTTCCAGACCAGCCTGGACAACATGGTGAACCCCCGTCTCTACTAAAAATACAAAAAAATTAGCCGAGCATGGTGGTGGATGTCTGTAATCCCAGTTACTCGGGAGGCTGAGGCAGAAGAATTGCTTCAATCTAGGAGGCGGAGTCAGTCAAGATCATGCCACTGCATTCCAGCCTGGATGACAGAGCGAGACTCTCTCTCAAAAAAAAAAAAAAGGAAAAAACAACCCCATTAAAAAGTCAGCAAAGGGCCGGGCGCGGTGGCTCAAGCCTGTAATCCCAGCACTTTGGGAGGCCGAGGCGGGTGGATCACGAGGTCAGGAGATCGAGACCATCCTGGCTAACATGGTGAAACCCCGTCTCTACTAAAAATACAAAAAACTAGCCGGGCGTGGTGGCGGGCGCCTGTAGTCTCAGCTACTTGGGAGGCTGAGGCGGGAGAATGGCGTGAACCCGGGAGGCGGAGCTTGCAGTGAGCCGAGATCACGTCACTGCACTCCAGCCTGGGAGCACAGCGAGACTCCGTCTCAAAAAAAAAAAAAGTCAGCAAAGGACATACGCAGATACTTCTCAAAAGAAGACATACATGAGGCCAACAATCATATGAAGGAAAGTTCAACATCACTGATCATTAGAGAAATGCAAATCAAAACCACAATGAGATATTTCATATCAGTCAGAATGGCTATTATTAAAAGGTCAAAAAACAACAGATGCTGGCGAGATTGTGGACAAAAATAAAAAGTAAAAAAATAACAGATGCTGGTGAGGTTGTGGAGAAAAAGGAATGCTTATACAATGTTGGTGGGAGTGTGAATTAGTTCAACCACTGTGGAAGACTGTGTGGCAATTCCTCAAAGACCTAGAGACAGAAATATTATTTGATCCACCAATCCCCTTACTGGGGTACATACCCAAAGGAATATATATCAGTCTACCATAAAGACACATGCATGCTATACTCACTGCAGCATTATTCACAATAGCAAAGACATGGAATCAACCTAAATGCCCATCAATGACAGACTGGATACAGAAAATGTGGTACATATACACCATGGAACACTATGCAGCCATAAAAATGAACGAGATCATATCCTTTGCAGGGACATGGATGGAGCTGGAGGCCGTTATCCTTAGCCAACTAGCAAAGGAACAGAAAACCAAATACCACATGTTCTCACTTATAAGTGGGAGCTAAACAATGAGAACACATGGACGCATAGAGGGGAACAACACACACTGAGGCCTATCAGGGAGTGGAAGGTGGGAGGAGGGAGAGAAGCAGGAAAAATAACTAATGGGTATTAGGCTTAACACCTGGGTGATTAAATAATCTATATAACCAACCCCCATGACGCACGTTTACCTATGTAACAAACCTGCACATCCTGCACATATACCCTAAACTTAAAATAAAAGTTAAAAAAAATACTGTGGACATGATTCAGATTAAAGGAGGTTAGAATACATAAAAATTCCTGGTATATATATGGGTTGTATGTTTGAAAATTACTTTAAAAATAAATAAACAGGCGTGGTGGCTCACGCCTGTAATCCTAGCACTTTGGGAGGCCGAGGCAGGTGGATCACAAGGTCAGGAGATCGAGGCCATCCTGGCTAACATGGTGAAACCCCGTCTCTACTAAAAAATACAAAAAATTAGCCAGGCGTGGTGGCGGGTGCCTATAGTCCCAGCTACTGGGGAGGCTGAGGCAGAAGAATGGCATGAACCCAGGAGGCGGAGTTTGCAGTGAGCAGAGATTGCACCACTGCACTCCAGCCTGGGCGACAGAGCGAGACTCTGTCTCTAAATAAATAAATAAATACAAATATAAAAAACAAAAGACATAAAAGAGGTAGCACTGGTCATTATGAAATTATTTGTTTTTCATTTATTTTATTAGTTGACGGGTTAAGAAGATACTAAGAATACTATAGTTACAAAAATTGAAATGTTTTGTTCACAGATATTCTCGATTATTGACTAACACAAAGGGATACAAAAAGCATACCTGCAACTGTGAACACTGGGGAACTTTCCTCCGAGGTGGAGTCGGGATAAATGAAGTCTGTTTCCTGATTGATTCTAATCGTTTTTGCAGAGGAGTGGCACCTACAAAGTAATCTTCAGGTCTTGAGGATGCACTAGGAGTTGACTCTGGTACATTATAAGAATCCATGGTCTGTCTACATAAGAAGAAATAAAACCAGAATTCTAAGCACTAAAAAGTTAACTGATGCTCAGTTTCACTGATTCCTCTCCTCACTCTAAAGGAATCCTTTCTCTTTCTTTCTTTTCCCCTCCCTATTCCCAGTTTTAAACCAAGTCCTATATTCCTTATTGGCTATAGCCCACTTTTATGTATATCTTACAGACACCTCAAACACAGTGTATGTTCAAAACTAAATTCAACTTCTTTTCCTCCTTCAAAAAGCTAACTGATCCATTTTCAAATTCCTGTCAATTTGCTAAGTTAACTTAAATTCATGTAGTCTCCCACCTTCATTCTTTAACATACAGTCATTAAGCACATTCTACTGAGTTTTTCTTTCAAGAATCTGTCAAATCTGGTTCCAAGATGGCTGAATAGGAACAGCTCTGGTCTGCAGCTCCCAGCGTGATCGACCCAGAAGACAGGTGATTTCTGCATTTCCAACTGAGGTACCTGATTCATCTCACTGGGACTGGTTGGACAGTGGGTACAGCCCATGGAGGGTGAGCCGAAGCAGGGCAGGGCATTGCCTCACCCAGGAAATGCAAGGGGTCCAGGGATTTCCCTTTCCTAGCCAAGGGAAGGCGTGACAGACTGTACCTGGAAAACCAGGACACTCCCACCCAAATATTGCGCTTTTCCTACGGTCCTGGCAACCAGCAGACTAGGAGATTCTCTCCCGTGCCTGGCTTGGCAGGTCCCACACCCACGGAGCCTTGCTCACTGCTAGCCCAGCAGTCTGAGATTGACCTGCCAGGCAGCAGCCTGGTGGCGGAGAGGTGCATACACCATTGCTGAGGCTTGAGTAGGTAAACAAAGTGGCCAAGCAATTCAAACTGGGTGGAGCCCACCACAGCTCAGCAACGCCTACTGCCTCTATAGACTCCACCTCTGTGGGCAGGGCATAGCTGAAAAAAAGGCAGCAGAAACGTCTGCAGACTTAAATGTCCCTGTCTGACAGCTCTGAAGACAGCATTCTCCCAGTATGGCGTTTGAGCGCTGAGAACAGACAGACTGCCTCCTCAAGTGGGTCCCTGACCCCTGTGTACTCTAACTGGGAGACACCTCCCAGTAGGGGCCAACTGACACCTCATACAGGCAAGTGTCCCTCTGGGATGAAGCTTCCAGAGGAAGGATCAGGCAACAATATTTGCTGTTCTGCAAAATGCTGTTCTGCAGCCTCCACTGGTGATATGCAGGCAAACAGGGTCTGGAGTGGACCTCCAGCAAACTCCAACAGACTGCAGCTGAGGGACCTGACTGGTAAAAGAAAAACTAACAAAAATAAAGGAATAGCATCTACATCAACAAAAAAGACATCCACACCAAAACCCCATATGTAGGTCACCAACATCAAACACCAAAGGTAGATAAAACCACAAAGATGGGGAGAAACCAGAGTACAAAAGCTGATAATTCTAAAAACCAGAGCACCCCTTCTCCAAAGGATCACAGCCCCTCGCCAGCAACGGAACAAAGCTGGACAGAGAATGGCTTTGACAAGTTGACAGAAGTAGGCTTCAGAAGGTTGGTAATAACAAACTTCTCTGAGCTAAAGGAGCATGTTCTAACCCATCGCAAGGAAGCTAAAAACCTTGAAAAAAGGTTAGACGAGTGGCTAACTAGAATAAACAGTGTAGAGAAGACCTTAAATGACCTAACGGAGCTGCAAACCATGGCATAAGAACTTCATGATGCATGCACAAGCTTCAATAGCCAATTCAATCAAGTGGAAGAAAGGATATCAGTGACTGAAGATCAAATTAATGAAATAAAGCGAGAAGACAAAATTAGAGAAAAAAGAGTAAAAAGAGACAAACAAAGCCTCCAAGAAATAACGGACTACGTGAAAAGACTAAATCTACGTTTGATTGGTGTACCTGAAAGTGACGGTGAGAATGGAACCAAACTGGAAAACACTCTCTACGATATTATCCAGGAGAACTTCCCCAACCTAGCAAGGCAGGCCAACATTCAAATTCAGGAAATACACAGCAGAACACCACAAAGATACTCCTCGAGAAGAGCAACCCCAAGACACATAATTGTCAGATTCACCAAGGTTGAAATGAAGGAAAAAACGTTAAACACAGCCAGAGAGAAGGGTTGGGTTACCCACAAAGGGAAGCCCATCAGGTTAACAGCAGATCTCCTGGCAGAAACTCGACAAGCCAGAAGACAGTGGGGGCCAATATTCAACATTCTTAAAGAAAGGAATTTCAACCCAGAATTTCATATCCAGCCAAACTAAGCTTCATAAGCGAAGCAGAAATAAAATCCTTTACAGACAAGCAAATGCTGAGAGATTTTGTCACCACGAGGCCTGCCTTACAAGAGCTCCTGAAGGAAGCGCTAAACATGGAACGATCAGTACCAGCTACTGCAAAAACATGCCAAATTGTAAAGACCATCGATGCTAACAAGAAACTGCATCAACTAACGGGCAAAATAACCAGCTAACATCATAATGTCAGGATCAAATTCACACATAACTTGAAATGTAACTGGGCTAAATGCCCCAATTAAAAGACACAGCCTGGCAAATTGGATAAAGAGATAAGACCCATCAGTGTGCTGTATTCAGGAGACCCATCTCAAATGCAAAGACATACATAGGCTCAAAATAAAGAGATAGAGGAAGATCCACCAAGCAAATGGAAAGCAAAAAAAAGGGAGGGGTTGCAATCCTAGTCTCTGATAAAACAGACTTTAAACCAAGAAAGATCAAAAGAGACAAGGAAGGTCATTACATAATGGTAAAGGGATCAATTTAACAAGAAGAGCTAACTAACTTTAAATATATATGCACCCAATACAGAAGTACCCAGATTCATAAAGCAAGTCCTTAGAGACCTACAAAGACACTTAGAATCCCACACAATAATACTGGAAGACTTTAATACCCCAACATCAATATTAGACAGATCAATGAGACAGAAGGTTAACAAAGATATCCACGACTTGAACTCAGTTCTGCACCAAGTGGACCTAACAGACATCTACAGAACTCTCCACCCCAAATCAACAGAATATACATTCTTCTCAGCACCACGTCACACTTATTCTAAAATTGACCACATAATTGGAAGTAAAGCACTCCTCGGCAAATGTAAAAGAACAGAAATCACAACAAACTGTCTCTCAGACCACAGTGCAATCAAAATTAGAACTCAGGATTAAAAAACTCATTCAAAACCACACAACTACATGGAAACTGAACAACCTGCTCCTGAATGACTACTGGTTAAATAACAAAATGAAGGCAAAAATAAAGATGTTCTTTGAAACCAATGAGAACAAAGATGCAATGTACCAGCATCTCTGGGACACATTTAAAGCAGGGTGTAGAGGGAAATTTATAGCACTAAATGCCCACAAGAGAAAGCAGGAAAGATCTAAAATCAACACCCTAACATCACAATTAAAAGAACTAGAGAAGCAAGAGCAAACACATTCAAAAGCTAGCAGAAGGCAAGAAATAACTAA